AAAGGAAGAAAGATATTCTATTTTATATAAATGCATATTCTATAGTTGAAGATGTACAAGGGATTTAACAAGATTCTATGTCAGAGTTAAAAATATAATGTGTTTAAAAAATTACTTAATCAAAAGATTAATATTTGATAATGAAAACCTGGAACTAAGATCTGTTTTAATAACTCTTCAAGTGTACCTCATGAGAATTTTTTATTGGGTAAAAGTAAAGGTAGTAAATACTTTCTGGTTAAGTAGTTCCTGCTCTTTATTATAAAATAAAAGAAATATTTCTTTGTTATCTGTTTAAAGAGAAAAGCTAAAATACAATTTATAAATGTATTTTTTTTCTTTTGAGATTATTTGACAATAATTGGTTTGTTTTCAACAGTGATTCTGCCTTGGTAATATCAATAACATTTCAACACTTATTCTTACTTACAGAGGTAAAGCCTTGTGTAAGTGTGTTAAATGTCAAATTTTTCAAAGGAGACTCTGTGCTAAAAGCAAACAAAATAGTGTCTACTTTATTTTCTTGTAAAATTAGTTTTTTACCCACCTCCTTAATGGAAAGAGAAGCTAAAAAGATTTTTTACTATTAAAAAGAAAGGTTTAGGATGTTTTCCCTGTTTGAATAAACAATCAAAATTAACTTTCCTCGTATCTTTTGCAAGAGAAGGTTTGAAGGATTTCTTTTACTTCAATCTCAGAAAATTTTAACATAGTTTCTGCCCATCTCTCTTTTAGAAAAGTAAAATTTAAAAGAAATCCTTCCTGCTCTTTATTTTGGAAAAAAAAGAGTTTCTAAAATAGAATATTTCCTGCTCTCCGTCAGACAGGAAAATCTAAATGTTTTATGTATTCTATGTTTAAATGAGGAAGATTGACAGTAGACTACTCTGTGGTCTGTTGGAAGGGTGGAGTTGGTTGACTTGGGCCTAATTTAGGTTTCTGTGCTAATTCACACTGATTTCTTTTTAGCATATTACATGTTGAATAATTGTTTAAATCTTGAGAGCTTCCAGTGCAGAAAAGTTGTAAAAAGTAATTTGTAAAGTATATTTATTGTACTTACTAATGTTGATTTTAAGGGAGGTGTGACTGTATTTCCACATGCTGAATATCACTTCTTCCTAAAGCTAATTCTTCTAGACCTGCCTGTAATTATAATCATGGATGAAGTCCCGTTTGTTCCCATTTTGATCTGTCTTGGTAAATAGAAAACATATGCTTCTTAGTTAGTTGTCATAATTATATTTTTATAACTCTTGAACATTATTAATCGAGGAAAATTTGAATTCTTGTCCTAGACAAATGATTTATAAAGTGATAGCAGTATGTTGCTGTCTTACTGAAAAAAAAAAAAGGCTGTAAAGAGGGAAGTTTTAAAGTAACGGAGTTTTCTGAGCATGTTATATGGAAAAATTATAAGGTGTGTATTGGTTACTAAGAAACTTATGGGTAATTTACAGATATATATCATTTGTATATTGAGAAAATGATTTCATTTATGTACGTTTAAAAAATAAATGAAATACAAAATCAGGTTATTTGTTAAAACATTTTCAAAATCCTACACATGAATTACTTTGTGCTAAGTAACTTAAAATATACTACTATATAAATGTATAGGTATTGTTATGATAAAAATCATATTTTTATGGTATCTCCAAAACTTAATCCCACAAAACATTATTTGTAATATCTTTAGTTTTGAAACAAAACTTAAGAGGCACCTGAACTTAAATGGACAAGTTATACATGGCTTCAGAGCCCAGTATCCTCATTGGTTTGAAGGTTCCATGTTTTTGTTTTCTTTGGTCTTGTTACATTTTGGTCACTACAGTTTTGAAGGGAGTGTCATGATTGTTAATATACCTGAGTATTACAACTCTATGGTTGAATGACCCAGTTATAAAATTTTGTATAGGCCATATATCAATTAGTTTCTTAAAGTACCTATGTGGTTCTGTACTTATAAAAACAAAAGAGAGAGAGAGAGAGGTTGAAACTATCTGTGAATGTTATAATACACTTGTAGAAATGTCACTGTAAAACTGAGAATGTAGTTTTTTCACATCAGCTAAAGGAATTGGGTTAGTTATACTGTTCAGATACGTATTTGTTTTTAGTGTAATTGTTATTACATAAGATTACTTGAAATATCTTGGATGAAATTTTTAAAAGCACTGTAATAAAGGTTTTGATGTCAAGTACTAATTAAAGAGGGTCTGGCTTTTATTTTATTTGTAGATACTTGTCTTTCTAATAACTAAAACAAATTAAAAGGTACTTACAAATACAACAAACCTAGCTTTGTGGTACATAATAAGATATGAATGTAAAGTTGTAGTATTTCCAAAGTATCTGCCATGTTTTTTAAGCAGAAATTTTTTTTGACATTTTCTTAGTTTTTAGTACAAAGGTTCTTGGAGCCCTAGATACATATCTCATGTATATTGAATGCTAGTAATTTTTAAAAAAATGCAATAGATATTGATAATATATACACAGATTAACAAATATTGTTCTGATGCCAATGTCTACTTAATAGTGTTTTTAATAATAGTTGGAATATTTGATGTAAAAGAAGCTATGCTACATGAAAATGAAAAGTATTTGTAAATTAGTTTGGCATGCTTCTGCTTGTTATTTAGAAAACCTGTCTGTATATTTTGTCTGTTTAAAATTCATGAGAATATTGTGATCTGTTTTAATAAAAAACCACAAGTTATGTTTTTACAGCGTTTAAAGCCTAGAATGATAATGTTAAAATTTCAATCATTAACACCAGGTGGTATGGGGTCATAGTGACTTCATGCTGACATTCTAGGGTTAAGTATTCATTTGGAGTTCGATTAATTTTATTAATATACAGTTGTGAAAATAAATTACCTTGGAAAGTTTGTTGGCATTGTTTCAAATTTATATAAATAGGTAATTTCAACAACTACCTAAGGTATTCATCTTAATATAATCAAGTGTAGTACCTGGCATTAAATTGCCTATAGGAGTCATTTGTTTTATTCCATTTAAATATTGGCAGTTCTCAGGTATAATGCTTCTTTGAAATTTTGTTTTGTACATTTTATATTTACAGTTGATGATTGTGTTCCTTAATATTTTAACATCTTTAACGTTGGGGAAAGTTCTTTGGAACTAATGATTTATGCATGAATAATTGTATTTCTAATAAATGCTTATTTCAATGAGTGTTGAAAAAGTTGAACTGGAAATCTAAAGGTATGATTAAACACATTTTCTTTTCTCCTAGTGTCATTTTCTATTTTCTAGTAAGTTACTATTACTTGAGTTTTACATAATTATACAAATGAGTAATTAAAATTATACAATTGTGAAATTTTCTCTAGCATATAAATGACACTTTTTTTTTTAAAGAAAACCAGCTCGAATCTGTTTATAATGAAAAAAATGACTACTTTGATAAAATGGGTAAGTTTTCCAAAATTTGAACAAATAATATACACGAAGGCAATTTTAGAGAGAAGCGACATTATAACTTAACATACTTTTTATACAATTTCACATTTAAGAAATATAAGCTTTAATATTAAAGTATGCTTATGGATGTAACTGAGAATCACCATTTATGGTGTATTCTATTTAAGTGGAATGAATGGCAACTTGTATATTTGCCATAATTTTTTTACTGAAACAAAGTAAAATCAGATCAGTCATTGTAATATTTTATTTAATACACATAATCAGGATGAAAATGTGTTCTGCTACAATAGAGGTTTACATAAAATGTAGAATGTACAAATAAAAAAGTTCTGAGCAGTTCCTACTTAGCAACATTTAGAGATCTTGATGTATGCTGTAAAGGTAGATTTCAAAAAACACAAAAATACTCATGTGAAACAGTTAACAGACCACACCTTATATGTCTAGGAATACCAGTTTAAAACATGCATTTTTTTTTTACTTTTGCTATATTACAACGAGTTGTTAGTTCCCCGTTTTTTTTTCAGGACTGATGATTTGATACACACAGTGTTCCCTCACTCTCTTATAAATTTTATTTTTTTTTCAAAAAATGGGTTTCTTTATCAAGAAGTTACATAGTTCACCTGTAGAAGGAAGAACACTTCAAATAAATTAAACAGAAAGAAGCTTTTTTTATTTATTTTTTTAAATAAGTAATGCGTTTTTTTTCATATAATGAATTGAAAGTTTTCTGGAACAAAGCCCTTCAATTACAAAAGCTTCCCAGTTTTTATCAATATTAAAAGCAACAATAAGTATTAAATTTTGATATTGTAAGTGACATAAAAGTTTGAAAGTTTATCAACATTTTCTCAAGTGCTCGATAAGGACTGAAATTTGGTTGAGCCATTTCAAATCACACTAGTTTTCTTTCTTAGGATGTATAACATAATGAATTTCACTGACTTTGTTAAAGGCACAATCTGAAATTAAGTTTTGATGGATGGATTAAAAAAAAAAAGATGAAAAGGCTTAAATACAGGTGATTGTTAAACATTAAGTATAAAATAATTAATCTAAAGTGTAAAATAATACTTCCTGTACATATAACAACTCAGAAAACACAATCAACTAGTAACTTCTCAACAAAGCAGTGAACAAAGTATTTTTATCAGAATGAAAAATAAACTGACTGATCTTCAAATATCTCTTAGATATAATAAAGTAACTTAATTATAAACTGAAGTTTTCAAAATGGTATGTATAATTTGCAATAAAACATTCAGGTACCAGTGAGTAAAACAACTTACAATGATAAATCAAAACTGCACCTTTTCTGTAACTTAATTCAATATTCGACATAATTATTTACCATTAGTCAGTCAAGAATCCGAGTTCACATCCATATGGTGTGAAAAAATTTGACTCAAGCCTGTGATTGCATAACATTTTGACAGAAACTCCTTGCACTTTCCATAAAAGTAACAGAAGCATGAATAAGTACATTTTTTATAATAACATGATCATAAGTTCTCTGCAAAATCATGAAATACTGACCCTCTTAACTCTGTGTTGAAAGCTTCACCATAAAAATTATTTTTTCTTACAAATTCTCAACTTTACTAGGCACAAAGAATAAAAATAACTTTATACATGTAATTATTTATAAAAAAAAAACATGTCGTACATACACAAAATGTGATAATGATATGTAAAACATGGTACTGTAGGCTGCTGTGTACACTTTAAATTCTTGGAACATTCAACAATCAGTTTTATAATATTGAAGTAAACATCACATTGTGAATGCATAACTTTTATCAAGACCATGCAATAGATTCTTAGCCTGGATTCTTTTCCTTTCTCAAGTTATGTACAAAAAAAAAAAACGTGACCACATCCTTTGGTAAATATACAATAAAAACAAATCCAGTTTCAACACCATGTTACAACAACGATAAACAATATCAAGGGATTATTTCTTTTTACAGTAGTTCCATTCTTTGGTTTCTATATAGTTGGTTGTAGACCAATGGCAGGGGTGTTTTTCTCTATTCCCCTTGCAACAAGTGTAGCTCTACAATGCTAAGAATGTCTGAGACTCGTTTTTCCTAACTAATAATCAAATTTAACACAAAGACTAGCAAAATGTATACAAAAAACATAATTTAGAAAGCACACTTTGTTACACCTTGTTAAGTTTCTGCTGTTGTAGATATCTTTTAAGGTTAAACAAAGAAAGTGTTTTTTTCTTCCAAATTACACTGCTGATACTTGAGTTTCATCATCATCTACAAATATAAAAAATATAGTTTTGTTACTATGATAATGAAATTGAAGTTAAAGTATTAAGACCATTTATTTGGTTAATAATTCTTTTATGATTTAAAGATACATACTTCTTTTTTTTTAGATTGAAGGTTTTGTTTTTAATTATGCACAAAGCTACACAAGGGCTATCTGTGCTCTGCCCACCACAGGTTTCTAACGTTGTAAGTCCACAGACATACCGCTGTGCCACTGGGGGGCTAGATTGAAGGTTATAGAAGTCTTTTCTCCCAGTATACTAGCAAATTCACAAAATATTACAAACAAAACGAATAAAATAATGGTTTATTAAACTTTATTTTCTGTACATTATTATAATAGTTTTCCATAATGTAGTTTATTTCTAATAAAGAATTATTTAGAATTCTTTTTTTAATCTATAAAATAAAAATTATAAAAAATCATTATCATTTTTAAGAGGTATGTAGAAATTCAGGAATTTTCTTGTCCAAAATATAAATTTTCTTTGCTTGAAATCTTCAAAACCTAGTTCTAAATTACAGTTTAAAAAAAGCATATCTGATACTTTCCTGGCACAATTAGATATTTTTGTGTGTATTGTTTCTAGTCAACATTTCTACTAAAAACTATTTTTCACTATTCTCTTTTTACCTATGATGTCAAGTGGGGAAAGTTAGGTGTATGGTTAGGAAATAAAAGACTGAAAACTAAAAGTAATGGAGCTCTTAAAAGTTTACAGTAAGTTAAAATACAAGAATTGACAAACAAACCACTTTTTTATTGAAGTAGGCCTAACAAACTACAGATGACTGTTTGTGAAATAGTTTCACGTTTTTTATAATTTAAGTTTAAAAAAATGATATAAGATTTATACAAGATTCCTTCACCTAGTTGAAATGATCCAGAAAAACTTGTTAAATCACTTTGCAGTCATTCGTAGAAGAGTAAAATCAACATGTGCTGGATTTCCAATGTGAAGACTACTGAGAATTATTACATAACACAAAATAGGAAATTAATAAGAGATCTGCATATTTACTTGATAGCAACTAAATAGACCTTTTGACTATAGTGTCATTGTGAGTGACAGTTGTAACATTCATATCACAAAAATGTTTGTATAAAATACTGTAGGGAAAAAGCATGATCATAAAGGTGAAAATGTACCATTTTGCTAAAGATACTAATATGCTGTAATAAAAATAATTTTTTTAACTGAAACAAATTGTACAATAATGCTTACCATCTTCTGGATCTGTGCTATCTGCATTGTAATAACCCACAGATGCCATACCATCATGACTGTGCGCTCGGATTAAATGACCCATGTGATGCTCATATGACATTTGTTTAGAGGAAAGATGATAATCTGAAGGTCTTCGTCCACGGACCAGAGAGTAATGTGGAGTACCTTGTGGAACAAGGGATGGAGGCATGAGGCCTGAAGATGGAACACCTATTCAAGATAAAATAACATATTATAATATTTTTATGCTATCCTAATCACTGAATAAGTAGAAGTATAAACAAATTTGAGGCTTAACTCTATGTCAATCAAATTTGAAATAACGTTTTACACATAGAAAAAGAACAATTGAAATTCGAACTGAAATAATGCATTTTAGGCATTTAAAGCTATTCAAACTTATTATAATTTAGTAATAAACATTTCAGGGATTTGAATATTGAAATAATACTAAATGTTAACATCTTTATACATTTTCTTTGACTAATCACCATGTTCTTTACCTTAAACAGTGTGCTGAATTTCTAAAAATGTGATAATCAAAAAAATCATAAAATTTTGCTCTTCCATAGCTAATAGAAAATACATATTTATTCAGGTAATTTTTCTAGATTTCCATGCTGGTATTCCGATGTAGTTAGCATCATCCTTGAAACTTGAATCTGGGAACATCATAGACTTGTAGTGATCCTCTAATTTTTACAAGTGGTTTTTCATAGGGCTTATACTGTCTTGTGCCTGTTTTCACATCATGCCCTCCTATCTGAATTATCTGTACTACTGTCTCTAATTTTGAACTGATAGACTAAAGGGAAGGCAGCTAGTCAGCATCACTCACTACCAACTCTTGGGTTACTCTAATCAAATAGTGGGATTTAACAGTCACTCTTTACCTTAGTTTCCTTGATAATTTTCAATGGATATCCTTTTGAGTTACATCCCCATTGATGCATTTAATGCATCTGAAACATTTTTCATTTTGCACGTAAAAGGTGACATAGGATAATCTTCTGATGCATTTGTTTTTTATTCTTTAAAACATAAAATAGCACAGAAAGAAAAGTACTCAGCACATAGTGAAAGGAAGGGCAAAAAATTATGAAAAACTCAATAATGACAAAACTTACTGACAGTTTATCTTCCCAGCATGGATGCTATAATCCATAGCTATTGTTCTAATACATCTTTTAGTACTGTAAAACATTTTTTGGATGGTATATGCTCTACATTTCTTACTGGTCTTGGCCTGGTTAATCCACATGTTTAGGGTTAAAAATTCCCTACAATTCAATAATGCTTTTATAAGGAGTTTTTCTATTTACCAGTGTGTGAAATGGGTGGAAGAACTGGAACACCATGAGGAATGTATGTAGTATTTGTTCTTATCTGACTGGCAGGTGGACAGTGGGATACTGCAGAAAGAGAAACAAAACACTTCAGCTTCCACACATACAAAAATACACACACAAATCTATTATAATAATAATGAGTTTTTATCTGTCCTGAACATGCACCTTACTATCTAAATGCTTATGCATGCACATTTTATTTCAATGAATGTAAATAAAAGGTAGATATAAATATACTTTAGTAGACATTTTGATAGTATTAAATATAGTAAAGTTTAGCCTTAACTAAACTAAACCAAAAAACATACACAAATTACAGTGATCATTATCAATTATAAGCCATACTTAGTAAAGGCTTAACTAATGTTAGTCCTAAGACAAGTGGACTTGTAGATTTCAGTGTCTGCAATAATAATTCTTTTGTATTATTCTGTAAGTCCTGTATTTAAAGAATTACTATCACAAATGTTTTATGGGTCTCTGCTAGTGTGTGCGTATATATATATATTCATATATATATATACACGCACACATGAAACCCCAAAAAGCTGGGTTCAAAAAATAATTCTAAAGAGCATGCACCAACAGTTCTTATTTGTTAAAGTTCAGTTTTTAGTTTTCATCTCACTTGGGAATGTATATTTTAGTATATTAAAACTGTTAATCTCAAAAGTGTAAAATTCTAAAGATGCCAAAAAATATGAGGAAATACTACAATAATACTTGTAGAAATTTCAATTCATCAATTGTAACTGGCATATTAAATTTTCAAGTATTTCCGTTATCCAATGAACTATATAATTCTGTTGAATAAAGCTTTAAGTTAGAACACTATATACATTAATTAAATATGCAATCAACATATACACGATAATTATATTTATGCCCAGAAGTGGTTAATTACTGCATGATAATTTATATTACTACATTTTTTTGAATCTTAAACATTGTTAGATAATAAAAAATATGATCATATAATAATAACGAAAATATTTCCACTATAAATCCTTAGCTCCAATGCTTCTGAAAATTGGTTCCATCTTGAGAAAAAAAAAAAGATCTCAAAAGATCATAATGAACGAAAGAGAATTGTTTCTGTGTGCTTTTCATGGATTTATACTCCAAAAATTCAGTATTTATCTCAATGAAGCTAAAACCTGAAATACCATAAGAAAAGTTAATCAACTTTATATCAAAAACTTGATGAACAGCACAATGCAACTTTACTTACTGCAACTAAAGTGTCGTACTTTTGGAGGAGAGTTTCTTGACCCAGCTGAGCTAATACTATGACTGTCAAAACTAAAAGAATTATGAACGGAAGTCAAATCATAACTATGATGAAAGGGGTAGCTTCCTCCATTACCACTGTCTGTGAATGTGTCTGATCCTATGAGGAAAGAAATGTAGCTTTAGTTCAACTTCATCTTTTCAGACATACTGGATATAAAAGAGAACTGTCAATTTTCATTAGAAATTTTTATGTTAGTTAATCTGCATATAACATTTTCTAACTACAGAAATTATTTTAGTATCTTATTAAACAATAAACTTTAAATTAACTCAAAAACACCACCTTTAGAAAAATTTCTAACTATTCATTATTTAATAAAATACATCATGTCTATTAATAGAGTAAAATGAAAATAATGGTAGCTTAAAAGTATAAGTTATTATAATTTGCAGCTACTTTATATTATTTAACCATAAATTTTTGTTTTTAGCAAAAGGAAAACTGACATTTTATTAAAATTCTTTAATAGGACTAAGATATGTTTACTATTTTCAGTCAGAGAAGTCTTGAATTATAATAATTCATTATGCTTGTAGCAATTTAAGATAATAAAATATCAAAACTTTTTTAAAGCAGAAGTCCTATTAGACAAATTAAGAGAAATGCAGCACACATGAATCATGAAATACAGCATAATATTATTATTTTAAATAGACACATTTGAAGTTCATGCTTGTTGACAAACTTATGATGAGTAAGCAGTCTGAAACATTGTTGACATTAAACCAATAAACAGTTTACTGTTTGTTTGCTTGTTTTTGTATATTTGTGCAAAGTTACTCAAAACTATCTGATGTTAGGAAAACACCTAGGTTAAAAAAAATCAAAGTTTCAAAGGAATGTTGTAGATGCGACTCATTTCTGTTGTGCAATATGACATGAAACATGAAGTTGGAAAGTTTGTTTAACAAAAATTCTTAAGGGAAAATACATTGGGTATTGATAAAGTGAAATAAGGATCTTTAAGTTGTAGTATATGGAAATGTTTTTCAGAATACATGAAATGTTTGAGTTTGATGTAGTAAGTAATAAAAAGAGGAATCATGTTTGACTGTCTAGTATTACTCTGTTTAAAGATGGTTTTTGTGTTAAGTGTTGTAAGCTCTGTCAATTTTGGTAACTTTATAATCTCTTTATAACATGGTTTGTTTGAGATTTGTTTGTTCTGAAATTTGTGTTAGTCATCTCTAATTCTAAACTGATAGCACAGAAAGAAGGCAGTTAGTTAACAGCACCCACTGCCAACTCTTGTCTGATCAAATAGTTTGATTTGACCATCATCCTTATAATGCACTCATGGCCCCAAATTTCAGAGCACAATTTCTTTTTTTTCAAGTAATGGGATGTAATTGATGGACCCATCAGTAAATAGCTTATGATCAGACTTTGTCCGAGATGAACCACAAGCATGCTTGAAGTCCTATACTGTCAGATTATATTCAGGCTTGATCACATGATGAATCATGAATAATATTCTCATGGGTGGGAAACAGCATTCTCACAAAAAGAAAAGTGTGCCCACAGTGAAACGCTGAATATTTTATTACAATGCATTATTAACAAAAGGACTTCAGAAGAGCCTAGAAAAACTTTAGGTGAAGCAATAAAGTGTGGTTTCTTTATACATATTGTAAGTTACATAAAGCACATCACATAGTACCATCTAGAAAAACAAAAGTTATAAATTTATATGAATAATCTCCTGTTGTCTCAGTGAAGCAGTCTGTTTCTGACAGCAGGTTAGAGGAAAGTTAGAAAGAGCTGTAAATTTCTGGGTGTAAAAAAAAGAAAAGAAACAGAGATGGAACCCATCCATAACTTTGGTGAATATCAGTTTGGATTAATGATACTGTTTCATTCTACTATACTAAGGGAGAAACTTTCTTTGGAAAGTTCGAGAAAGAGTTATACTTTAAAGAACATAAAGTGGTAGAAAAAAGTCTGTTTTTTCTCTTCTTCAAAGATGTTTGAACCTATGACAAATTCAAAGAATGTGAAACAATTCAAGTGTAGGTTTGAGTATAATTTAGACAAATCAGAGCTAGTACCTGAAGTTTGAGATTTCCGTAATGGAAGGTGATTCAAACTAGTCACACTAGAACTTTCTGCTGACAAGTCTACTGGAAGAACAGAGTTGTGGGTATCACTATGAGAACGACCATGCCCATGGCCATTGTCTTGGTGTCGTCGAATTGCATTTGGGGAGGGTGCTGGGGAAGATGAGTGGGAGTGTCTAGTAGGTTGGTGAGGGCGAAGCTTAGAGTGATCAGATAGAGCTAACATTTTTTTAACAGCCTGAGGTGAATCAGTTCCTGAAAAATAAAACTGCTGATGAAATATAATAAACTAAACTAATATGTTAGTTTAAGAATAAAATATGCATGCACGTACTGAATAAGACAAATTATAACTGCTAATCACCCCTGAGACTACAAAAAGTAGACATTTTAGATGTCAAAAGAAAAAGTAATAAACGAAATAGTTTCATAATAAAAACAAATATACTGGAATCAAGTAATATATTTATAGGTGCTCTTAGTAACAAAAAAATAATAACAGTTATAATCATTACTTTAAAAAAAGCTCATTATTTGAAACTATTATTTAAATGAACACATGCATTCTTTTAATGAGAGGATCACCAAAGTATTACAAACCAAACTCTGTATTAGTGAAAATGCTCAGATTCAGTTTTTAGCACAAAGAACAACTGGTTGTTTTAATTTTAATGTGCTGATAAGAATACAACACTAATTTACCAAATTTTCGTCCTGAGTTAACTGATTTCTTTCCCTCTGATGCACTGCTGTTACTGCTGGCTGTAGACAAGGTAGGTGAAGGATGACGTTTCCTAGGTGGTATACTAGAAGCACCTGGTAGATGCCACAAGAAGAAATTTTTTTAAAATAATTATTTTAATTAAGAAATATGTAGCAAAAAAAATATTCCACACTGCTTGAAAGAGCAAACTTCTTTAACATGGAGGAAACATTAAACATCAAATTAATGAAAAAATCAAATCATGTACTCCTAACAATCTAAAAGATTAATAGAAAATAATTCCAAAAGCTTGAAATATAAACATCACTTTTCAATGCATTTGTGAAGAATAACACTAAAACTTAATTATATCTTTATATTTTAGATTATCACATTTCTACAAAAAGTTATAATATACAATCTATACAGATTTATCTTCCATAGTTGCTACACTGGTTTAACTTATGTTTAAGTCTCCAAAGAGTAAACACACCTGCTCCTGTTGTTGGTTCACATTCCAGTGACATGCTTCGTAGCTGATTTTCATCTGTGATCACTTTCAAATTAGCCAAATATGTTTTCACCCTTCTTACCATCTGTGCCTAAGAAAGTACTTGTATCATTTAAGTACCTCTATATATCTCACTTTAAATGTAAGTTGGAAGAGGTCCTGAATTAAACATCTATAGTAAATTACAGATATTTTGAAATTATTACACATTTACCACTTTATATCATGTAGTGACATGAAAACAATACTTTGCATGTCACAAATTTAAATGTTTTTAATTATGTCCAATTCTCTCTCTCACAAAATGTTCCCCCATTTTCTTTCTCATTTAAAGCAAACTACATTTAAAATTTAACAAAATATCTATTTATAACTACAGTTTACATTTTCCAAAAAGTGAGTAATTTAAACATGCAATTTACATATATCATGTAGCATTTCTAGCAAAGTGTAAAAAAAAAATCAAACATTTTTTTGTTGATATGTGTGAATTGAGAACACGCATTTGCCATTTTTCCTGCAAATTTTAAGGACTGCCTCTGGAATCTCACTTTTTATTTACTATGAAAGATGTATATAATAGATAGTTGAATTCTTGCTGTTGTGTTGAAATATAATTTTTTTCTCAAACACTCTTAGAGCCTTCTTTACTCCAGGATGGGAAATATTCTTATAAATCACACTAAATTAAATCATTTCTATCTGCCATTTTACTAGCACAATCTGTCCTTATGACTACTTGCTAACAAGGCCAGAGCTCTACCACTGATCTATCCAACAGTTGCAAAAATACCCAGAAAATGAAGTTTCAACATTTACACTAATCTATAAAGCTTAAAAATTTTATAACAAATTTCATGCATGTTTAATTTAAATGTCACCATTTAAAAAACACTAAAACTGACCTTCCTCTGCTCTTTTATTTCTAATAAGCAGACACTTACTTCTTCAAACATTTTCTTTGGATGAGTTTGAACATTGCTTTTCTTTCTTCTCCTTAGAGTGGCAGCATTAGATGTTGCAAAACTATTTAAAGATGCCATAGCATGAGATGAGTTAGCTCCACCCAGCTCCAGCATGTTAAACAAGTTCTACACATAAAGAAGTGTATAAAAAAATTAATGATGTTGATTAAATTGTTTCACTTCTAGTTATATATGTTACTAGTATATGATATCAGTTTTGCTTAACCTATCGTGTTGTAAAATCAGTTTCACTTAAAGCAATATTTGGATATTAAAGATAAAACTAGTTTAAAATGTATAAAACATAGTTCTAATTTATGTTAAAGCTGTGTAAGAGCAATTAATATTTTATATGAAATTATAAAAACAAATTTGCCATTAACGAACAGGCCTGTATGGAAAGGGTTAAATCTCGTGAGCACAGTGACTTGGGAAAGTGGAGAATGTTAATGCAAAGAAACTGAATAACCATTTCTGGTGTTTATTTGAAAAACACCAATTTTGTTTTCTTTGCAATAGGAATATTTTATTGATGTTTATCAGTTAAAACCAAAAATTGGAAGCCCTACTTATATTTACCAGTAGCTACAAGTTACTCTAAATGAAACTGATTTTACTACCAGTGATAACATGACAGTTAAAATTAGGCTAATTTTACATCTGTAATCACATTTTGAGTTATTACTCCCATAAGAAAAATTAGTGTGCTTAGAATATAGAGTATGTAGTACACTCATTACAGTATTAAAAGCAAAAACTCTGAAAAACACCAATTTTAAGGTATCTACATAAAACTAAAAATGGAAACATTGAAAAACACTGATTTTAAGATACCTAAATAAAACAGCTAAAAATAAACACTGATTTAAAAAATAAAAAAACATCAAAACAGAAGTCCTAAATATAAATAACAGATCATTATTAGAAACACAATACTAGTTCTTGCAGTAATGTTGATTTAAACTTTGTTACAATTAGCTCAAATAAAGAAATTAAATTATATAATTTATTCTTTTATTAAATGAATTTCCATGAATTATAGCAACAATAAAATCTTTAATATTTTTAAAATTTTACACCCTTTTTTTTTCATAAGGAATGCCATATTACCAAAATGTTCTGCAATCCACTATGTACTTATTTGCAATGGTTACAGTTAAAAATGATACTAATGAAAAAATCAACAAATATATTGACAAAAGTTCTTTTTTAAGCTGTTAAAAAAATATCAATGAATAAATATACTGTTACAACAGCAGGAAGTCATGCGATGCTGGGAGCATGCGTGCTGGAGTTTCTAGAAGGATCATGAATTTTCCTGGCAACTCTAGTTTGTTCCAGGCACCCTCTTTTTTAGTATATAAGCCCGGCAAATAAAGCCAGTGAAAAAGATAGAATTGCAGAGATAGGCAGATAGATTGAAGATAGAGATAATTGAGTCAAGCGAACAGTAGGCACCATAATTAAAGTGTGTGAAACACTGTGATTTATAGCTTGTGTTATAAAGGTTGTTAAGTTTAAAGTGACTGTGGAAATTAAGTGTATTACAAAGTTTGTAATGAGAAACAATAAACTAGTTTTAATTAAGAAAGGACTTGTATCGCTGAAGTTTCTCAGAAATAATTTTTACGGGAAATTATCAAACGAGCAGATATGTAACAATACTAACAAACAACATATATACTTTTATAAATAGAGTTGTACTTCATTACTTACATAAGGAGCTGAACACATGTTCATGAGCTGACGCACTTCCTTAGCCACCATCCGTAACTTTTCAAAATTGACCTAAAATTTTCAAAGTATTAGAGCTATCAAAATGAATGTACTGTATTTTTAACACAAATTATCATTGTACATGCCTAAAATAAGTTTCAATGAGAAATTTAGTACATGGTTTTGAGCTCTCTCTTTGTTTTGCATATTATTCTTATTGTTTTATGAGGGCTGATCAGAAAGAAACAGGATTTTTCTCATATTCTGGATGCCATTAAATTTTAGTCAAGAATGAACTGTGTTAACAAGCAGGTCAGTAACTCTTCATTTCTAGTAACACCATGCATTATACGTTTCCACAACAGGTTGATTACAACATAATTACAGAGAAGTAACTGTGAAACACATTAGCCTGGGACTGAACGATCGAGCATATTCTCTGCTGGAAAGGTTTTGACATTTGAGATGCTATTTGGTGCATTCTAGTGAATTTTAGCCACCATCCTTAAGTACTGTATAAATGAAAAAACTACCTATATACATAGCAATTTCTTTTCCATTTGTTTTACACTTCATCAGATGAAGTGAAGTATGGGGGTTAATTTTACTATACAGTCCAGATATACAAACACAGGTCAAACTTCCAGTAACAAAGGTTCACAACATATTTACAAGCTATGGGCTTGTATCTTCAGCAGATGGTCTTTTCAAACATATGTCTAAAGTTAAAAAATGCTTCAGTCATATTAAACAGAAATAACACAATATTTACCTAAAAACTTGAATTTCATATTCAGTTTGATTCCACTGGCAGTAAGAATAAATTATATATATATATATTATACAAGTTACAAAAACAATATTTGAACAGAAAAAGTAAAAATTATTTATTCATAATAAATCCGTAGCTATAGATAACTGGCTCTCTCTTGCTGAATACACAATAAAACATTTCAGTGAACTTTGTAATCACATCCTGATACTCTGGCTCACAATTTTGAATTGTATAGACTTCAGTAATTTCTAATGTGAAACCGATATCACAAACAATTGCTAAAACCTCATGATTTTCATAACATACCTATGGACAGAGTCCTATATATGCTTGTGTAGTAACTTCTTACCATTGCTTTTTTACTTCAAAATACTTTTACACAGTATGCATCATGCCATACCACACTGATTAACTTTCTTAGCTATTTTGCAAACAGTCACATAAGATCATCTACTTCACTAAGGCATTCCTAACTCTATTTTTCTTCTCCTTTATATTGGAACCTGTCTCCAACACTTACATTTTTTACTAATTTCAGTCTGTGTCATCATCAAATTCAACCTGGCTGATGCACTGAATATGTAATCATTCCCCATATAATTTATGGTAGTTCAATATATTATACAGTTTTCATAACATCTATTACAAATATGAGTTTGTCTGGAAGTTTTAAAAAAAAAATTACAAAAAGAAACATTTCATCTTGAAAATTTCTCACAGAGGGGGAATTCTGCCAGTACACAGAAAGTTAATAGCCATGCACTCAAGGATAATCTGTACAGACAATACTTCTAGAATATGATACTTTTAAATAGGCTAGAAGCAACTGAATTCATCACACCATGTTATCATTTTACCAAATTCCTATTATAATGCTTACTGAATAAAGGAGGAAATACACCATAATTAATGGAAATTATGTTGAGAAATAATGCTTAATAAACAACTGTAACATAAATAGAATTAATCATAATCATTTTGAGTGTATGCAATTTGAAAAAATATTTTTAAATCTCTTTGTAAGACACGAGTATGGTTCTAGCTAAAGACGTTTAAAAATATCTTCAAAACCATTGGTGTGCATTTGTTGGTTGTAATCTGATATAGCTAGCCTAAAAGAAAAAGAAAATCTGTTTCTTTCTGATCAACTCCTTGTGTTGTGCATCAGTTTCAAGACAAACATTTTGTGAAATATACCTCCCATAAAAAAACATTGAATTTTTAAAAGAATGTTATCAAATTTTACTAAAATTGTTTTCTCTGGTGTTGACATTAGTTATAAGAGAATTAAGCATGTTTTTCTCCTCAGCTACTTGGAAAACATCCTGAAACATACAAGTGAAATCAAGGCAAATAATTAAAATGTGATATTTATTTATCACTGAAAAATTAGCAATCTGATGCATTCACTTACCAAACCTTCCACTTTTGTATCATTACCCAAGTGGATAAATGTAAGATCCTTCCTAACAATTGGGTAGAATGGTATCTGAGAATAAAGAACATTTATAATCAATGATGCAAAATTTCACCTTTTTTTTTTCTAATTAAAAGAAACAAGAGGGTCACTACATTTTACAAACCTTTTATTTTGGTAAGTGACTAATGTTATATCATATAACTAAAATAAAGATGTTACGATCTCTGTAAGAATTGCATTTCAGGATCATTATGAGGTCTGTGTCATTATTTTCAAACATTACCTGTTTCATAACCTTCCATATTAGGTACAGAAATTTTTGGTTGTATTTAGAAGGTATAGCTTAGTTCAATTGTGTATAAACACTGTATGTTGATGCAACTAATAGAGATGAATAAAAAGTAGTGCATCCGATACTAATTGCACAATAAAATGTTACCTAATTCATTACTACAAAAAAGCTTTAACATCTACAAACATTTCACTAGATCTTTCAAAAACAAATTACAATATTAGGTATTTACTATACTACATGCAAACAAGATTGTTCAGGTTTTGAGCATGAATAAATGATATGCCAAACAAATTAACTCACATTAGACATGAGAGTTTTACAGAATGACTAACTGAGGCAGCAATATTTTAATAGTTTCAAGACATATGCTAAATTAAGAATCCATTTTATACTCATCAATCATACTTTTTTGAAAACTTATGTTTTTGAATAATAAATTTTGCTCCACATACCATAGGAGGATGTGCAAGTTCACTGTTAACTAGAGTTCGATATTTACACATGTTTCGAGATGGGTCCATGAAATCATTCAGGTCCTATAAAAAACAATTTCTGATTACAGCAATGAACATGCCATAACCCTGAATTCAAATGGATCAATTAAACTCAAAATTTTAAAAAACTTAAGTTTCAAATAATATCTCATTCAATGCTATAACTATTGTAGTTATGAATAAAAACCCTATAACCCGAGCGGTTTTCTTCATGGGCAAACTATTGTAGTTATGTAGGGGTGATTGCATATAGATAGGTAGAGGTAAATGCAGCTTGTTTTGTTCATTACATTAAGACATATTGCATAACAACTAGTGCTATTATAATAATATATCTGTATACTGCATAATATTATAAGTTAGTGATATTTCAAAATACTTATTTTAATGTTCATAGCTACAGAACTACTATTCTCACCTTAAACATCTTTGAATATTTAGATGGTAGTTTATCCCAACTAGATCTTAGCCTTAACACTGTTCCATGGTTAAGTCCACCGAGAATTGCAAACATGGAATTCAAGTTTTTACATTCTTTACATTGTCCTGTGGAATACAAGTAAAAAATGTGTTGTTAACGTCTTACTATAATGGAGTAGCAAGTATATGTATCTATGTTTGTAGCCAAAATAATAAATATAATGTGGTGCCATCTATTGAATGACACCACAAACACAAATCCATAAAAAAAATTTACATTTTGGGTATTCAAGATTCAGACAATTAGAAAAATAAGTACAGTATGTGCAAGAACAATTTCTTCATTACACAACTTTATATAAAAGTATTCTCCTCACAGCAAGAACATGACTTTCACTAGAATTGTACATGATGGTTTGATTATATCTTTACTGATGTAATTTGTAAATATAGTACTAAAAAAATGGAGTTCTTAAAAACCTGTTATTTTTTCAATAATGGGTACCACTTT